AAGCCAGGTTCAGTGGCTCAGACCTACAATACCAGCTGCTTGGGAGGCTGAGGCAAGAGGATTACCAAGTTTGAGCCCAGCCTGGGCAACTTTGCAAGACCCTGTCTCAGAATAAAAAGGACTAGAGGATAGTTCAGTGGTAGAGCACCTGCCTAGCATGTGTTAGGCCTAGGTTGCATCCGCACTACTGCAAAGAAAACAAAAAAAGTGAGATACAGAGAACTCTCTGTAAGTAACTCCTGGGTCACACCATGACTGAGATTTTAACTCAGTTACCTTAATGCCATCGCTGAAACACGAATGTGTCACTAAGGCCATACCTTGCCTCTCTTTTCTTTCAGGTGCCTCTAGGAAAGGGGAGACGCTGTGTTATCTTAGCAGATGGATTCTATGAGTGGCAGCGATGTCACGGAACAAACCAGAGACAGGCGTACTTCATCTATTTCCCCCAGATCAAGACGGAACAGGTATCTGGAGCTGAGCGCACAGTATACCTGTGGGAAGGACAGGGGGCCAAATCATGCTGTGTACCACATGACGATGTTTCCATCAGTGATGCACCGTGTATATTACAGTTCTGTGCCGTGTAGCCTGGTGTGTAGCAGGCTCTACTGTCTATACCCTGTGGTGCTCACACAGCGCTGAAATCACCTAGGATACATTTCCCAGAAGGGCCCAGCAGTGATGCTTGCAGTGATCCAAAGTAGGACATTTTTTTCTTCCCTCATAGAGGTGGTTTTGTTTTTGTTTGGGGTGGGGGGGTTTTTGTTTTGTTTTGTTTTGTTTTGGTACCAGGGATCCAACTCGGGTCCTTGCGCTTGCACAGCAGGTGGTGAAACCACTGAGCTAAATCCCTGGCCCATTGTTTTTATTTTTTTGAGACAGGGTCTCACTATGTAGTTCAGGCTGGCCTTGAACTCACTGTAGCGAAGGCTGGTGTGGAACTCATGGTGATCCTCTTGCTTCAGCCTCCCCAGTACTGCAATAACAGGTGTGTGGCACCACACCCTGTATGTTTTTTTTTTTTTTCAGGCAACAGCTTCACTGAGATAGGGTGTGTTGTTTTAAGTTTAAACCATTTATTATAGCAAAAGACACATTGCCATGAACTCCCCTCAAAATACTTCCCCCTACTTCCAACACTTCCTAAAGCAGTTTTCAAAGTCCTCTTTTTTGAATGTCTAGTCACATTGCTGTGACAGCCTTAATAACCTGAATCAATTCAAATCATTTACCTTTCAGGATCATTTTGACTTTGGGGAAGAGCTAGAAATTTCACAGTGCCAGATCCAGTGGATAAGGTGGATGAGGACTCTGTCATGTTTTTACAAATATGCCTTTTCATTGGATGGCACTGGGCAGCAGCATTGACTGTATTTTTGATCATCCCAAAAGCTAATGGTGAACCTACTATGTAGCCCACCATAGCCTCAAACTTGTGAATCTCCTGCCTCAGGCTTCTCAGGCCTGGTATTACAAGTGTGCACTGTGCCCGGCTAACACTTGAAATAAATAAATCAATCTATCTTCCTTCCTTCCTTCCTTCCTTCCCTCCTTCCCTCCTTCCCTCCCTCCCTCCCTCCTTCCCTCCTTCCTTCCCTCCTTCCTTCCCTCCCCTGGGATCAAACTCAGGACCTTGTACTTGCAAGGCAGCGGCACCACTGAGCTAAATCCCTGGCCTGCCTTTCTTTCTTTCTTTCTTTCTTTCTTTCTTTCTTTCTT